AATTTGGTGACTGGAGAGAGGGAGGGAACTAATGTTTATTAGGTGCCACTCCAGGTGTTTTACATTTTAAAAACTGACATCAAATGCTGGCGAGTGTATCAAGCAACGGCAGCTTTTATACATTGCTCTTGGGAACACAAAATGGTTCAGCCACTTTCAAAAACAATTTGGCAACTTCTTATAAGGTTATACATACATGACCCAGCAGTCACACTCACCGGTATTTGCCAAAGAGAAATGAAAACATGTCTACTTAAAGAATGCTTTTACCAGCTTGATTTATAGTCTTCAAAAACTAAAAAAATTCAAATTTTCGACTTATGAGTGGATAAATTGTGATAATAATCCATAGGGTGAATTATTACTAAGAAATAAAAAATAACTTACTACCGAAGCATACAGCAACATGGATGAATCTCGAAAGCATTAAGCTAAAAAGGAGAGGAGCCAAACACAAAAGACCACATTCTTTATAACACTGTTTATACAACAAAAGTTATATCTTTGGTTGCCGGGGACTGGGAGTGGGTGTAGGGCACTGCTGAATAGCATTCCATTGTTCGAATATATCACAATTTGTTTATCAAATCACAATTTTAATCGTTATAACAGGTATGTAATGGTATATGTTGTTGTGGTTTTAATTTTCATTTTTCTGTCTTGAGCATCTTGTCATGTGCTTATTGGCCATTCCTATATCTTCTTTTATAGATCTATAAACTTTTTAATTGAGTTTTTTGTTATTATAGAGTTGTTAAGAGTTATTTATATATTCTGGATTAAATCTTGTGGATTATAAACATTAATACTTTCAATCAGTGGCTTGCCTTTTCATTTTCTTAAAAGTGTTTTCTTGAAGAGCAGAAGTTTTTAATTTTGATGAAGTCCAAATTATCAGTGTTTTTCTTCTTTGATTGTTAACACAAGTTTTATGTCTGATTATAGGAAGAGGATTTGACAACTTGACTTCTGTCCATCTTGCACGGCATACTCCTACAGGAACACTGGTGACTATAAAAATTACAAATTTGGAAAACTGCACTGAAGAACGCCTGAAAGCTTTACAAGTAACAATATGAAAAAATAATGCATTTCATGTACTATGTCTATCTGAGGAAGAATTTCTTTCCCCAAATTCATAGTTTCTGGTAGAGAAAGGTGGATTTCTTTTAATAAACATACAGTTACAGAATTGGAAAGAATACTTGGAAGCCAGATCCATAGAAGAATAAATATCATCAAACTGTAGCTACTCTAAATCCCTTCAAATGAATATCATATTCAAAATGCTGGTCTGGAGATTTATAAAACCCCTAGTTGGTCCAATCACAAATAGTCATATAGGAAAAAAAAACGAAAACGTTTCTTTTTCATTCGGTTGAGTAAAATTAACTTCTGAATTGATAAATCTTAACAGAATTGCATTTCAGGAATAATATAATACCATTTTCATTGTCACTAATCATTTTCGATATAGAGAAAGGGTTTTATTTTGATATTGTCTCAATTTTTAAAATATTTGTATGTGCACATGTATATTGCACAGAAAAAGATTGAAAGAAATGATACAAAAATGTTAACAGTGATTCTCTTTGTGATGTAGTAGTATCAGTGACTTTTATCTTCAAATTTTTATATAATTTTAAATGTTTCTATACTGAGAACATAGAATAGTTAATAAGAGTATGACCTCTGGAGTCAGATCGTGTAAGTTCCCATCCCACGTTCACTTCTTTTATTATGTGCTCTTGGACAAATTTTCTAACTTATTTCTAAGTATCCTTTTCTGTAAAATGGGAATCATGATATCACAGACTTCATGTAGTGGTTGTGAGATTTAAAGAGATGACAGCACTAAGAACAGTGGTTAGTACTAATAAGTTCCACTGTTAGCTGCCACTACTGCTATCGTCATCATAAGGAAAAAAAGGTTGTTTTTAAATGTCTTGTGTCTTATGTCTATCCTAGAAATCAGTGATTCTATCCCACTTTTTCCGGCACCCCAATATTACAACTTATTGGACTGTTTTCACTGTTGGCAGCTGGCTTTGGGTTATTTCTCCGTTTATGGCCTATGGTAAGAAAACTCATTTTAGACAAAATAACTCATAGTTTAGCCTGGATGCTATAATTATAAGTAGGATCTTAGATTTATGATTCATTACTTTTAATTTATAAATCTGATGGCCGATTCTGGATTTTATGATATATATCTAAATCTGGTTCATGTTGCTACAGCCGTGCTACCATGAATAAGCCCGATCTCATCTGATCTCAGAAGCTAAGCAGGATTGGGCCTATTTAGTACTTGGATGGGAGACCACGTAGGAAGACCAGGTGCTGTAGGCATAAAACAAACAAATAAACAAACAAATAAGGGATCATAAGCTGACAAGGTCCTTGTAATCTGTGAGGTCAATCAAGTGTGGCCTCACCTAAAAAAAATAAATAAATAAAATTAAAATAAATCTGGTTCATGTTGAATTTTAGTCTTCAGAAAAAAGTAGAATGGGGCTGATGGTCAGTGAACCACCACTGCTTCTCCAAGAAGCGCATGCCTTTGAACAAGCTGTCTCTTCCCTTCAGTTTCCTTTCTCTCAGTGGAGAGTTACCATTATTCTTTAAGCATTATTCTACCAGTGCACACCATTTCCATCCCTGTTTCTCTGCATTGTAAATTTATTTCTCTGCATTGTAAACATCTGCGTGTGTACCTGTCTCCTTCACAGGACTGGAGCTTCTTGAGGGCAGAATCATGTATGTATTTTTCATTTTAGGGTACCCAGGTACTGATATAGAACCTCGCAAAAAGTAGTGCTCAATAAGTGTGTTGAATAAATAGATCCTAGAACTTTGATTTTTAGGACAGCTTTTTGAATTTTCTCAAAAACTTATATATATAATATATATTAAAAATATAGATATAGATTTATAATATATATGCACACATATGTACAATATGTATTTTTTTGAGTAATACTGAAAATTGTTAATTCTCTTTCCTAATCTCGTGTCACTAGAAAATCTTTAAAGATTTTTGAAGGACAATAATCTTTGCATAGGAAAATGGTTAGACTCTAAAATGTAACAGAAGTGTGTGTGTGTGTGTGTATTTATGTAGGTTTATGGTTGAAAACATTTAAAACAGCTAAAAGCAAAATCACTCTCAGTGTTCATTTAAAGATTTCAGGGGTTTCTTTCAGGTTCAGCAAGTCAACTCCTGAGGACTTATTTTCCTGAAGGAATGAGTGAAACTTTAATAAGAAACATTCTCTTTGGAGCAGTGAGAGGGTTGAACTATCTGCACCAAAATGGCTGTATTCACAGGTATTTACTTAGTTGTATTTTACAAAATGAAAGAATTTAAGTGGAAGAACTCTTTTAGAGAGCTTTCGGGTAGGAGCAGTTGATGGTTAGAAAGAAGGAACAGGAAATTTGTAAATAAAAATTGAGGGAAGAAGATGTCAGTAGATACTGTAGATGCTGACGTTTGTGTTCATTCACCACTTCTACTGTGCCATGCGCTGTGCTCAGCGCTGGGGTAAGCATCTGCCCCCCTGGAGCTCGAGCCTCAATTGGATGAGGCATATAAGCTATAGGGAATGGAATTGGAATCCTACTGAGCTCCTTTTTTTTTTTTTCTTAATCAAATAAGCTTCTTTATCTGCTTTTCAGCTTTATGTCATAATTATATCATATACAAATTGTAACTAAACCTTTCTTTGATTTCTTAAATATTTTGCCGCACTTTAATATTATTATGCTAAATGTCAATTCTCTTGTTACCAAACTGCAGATGCAGAAGTAATTGGCTGGATGTTAAAACAGTGCTGTTCTAAGATATACTGGGACCTTGTTTTCCTTTTTAATTAAGTTACTTTTAAATAAGCCTCTTTCTTTATTGTTTGTTTCAAGCTCCTTAAAGCTTTTTTCTTACTATTTGTTGTTTTTTAGCGGCGTTCTGCTTAACTGAAGATTTCTAACAGATTGTCTTCTAATTACTCAAGGTTTTATTATACTTTACCGGACTATCGGCCATCCTATTCTATTTGTCTATTAGGAACTCAGTGCTTTGGATGAAAAACAGGGCTCTATTGTAATTTATTTGATAAAAGAAATAAGACATTCAAGACATATTATTCTAAATAATGTTAATACCATGAGAAACTGTCTTTTACTGGATAATATTGCATTTAAGTTATAACTTTATGCTTTAAATTTTATTTAATTGATTTTTTTAGACTTCTCCTCGGATGTTTTGCAATAGCATCCTAACATAGTGAAATTAATAATTTGAGTCCAAGTTTGAAAAAAAATATTAGCACTTCCAAAGATCATGTCGATGTCAGTTACATCGACCTTGTTCTAATGCTGTATTAACTAGCTGAAAGGATTCCTTAATCCCCTGAACATATCCCACATACATATATATATATATAACATAGCAGTGTGCTGCTATGTTATAAAGAGTATTTAATTTCCAAGAGCATATGTAGATTTGTTCTGACCAGATTTTTATTCTTTCTTCATTGGCCAATTTCCTAGTATTTAGGATTTTTTCTTTTTGTTCTAGGAGTTTTAAAGCCAGCCATATCCTCATTTCTGGCGATGGCCTAGTGACCCTCTCTGGCCTGTCCCATCTGCATAGTTTGGTTAAGCACGGACAGAGGCATAGGGCTGTGTATGATTTCCCACAGTTCAGCACATCAGTGCAGCCGTGGCTGAGTCCAGAACTACTGAGACAGGTCAGGTGTGGCCGTTGCATTGGGTTGTCTGTGCGTCTTGAGTGTCTTCTGAACTTGACTAAAGGACAATTGTGACCTTATATTTGGATTGGTGAATGGCCTGCTACTGTAAGACTTTTTCTCTTTCTTGTCAAAATTATTATGTTAGGAATTTTAAAATGTATACAATATATTAGATATAGCTTGATTTCCCACTTAGGAGTTTTTTCTTATTGTTTACCTTCCTTTATCAAAAAAGCCCATATATGTAACTTTTTAAGTTATTTACACTAAAGGACTTCAAATTAATTGTTCTACAGGATTTACATGGATATAATGTAAAATCAGATATTTACAGTGTTGGGATTACAGCATGTGAGTTGGCCAGTGGGCAGGTACCTTTCCAAGACATGCATAGGACTCAGGTAAATGCTACTAAAATCCCTGAACTACTTTCTTTTCGTATGATCCCTTATATTCTAGTTTCTATCTGTTAAACATCTTTGTTGTAGACTCTTAGGATCTTTATTGTCATTGTTTTAATATTCTGCCTGAAGAGTATCGAAGGAAATTTTTCTTTCTTTTAGATGCTGTTACAGAAACTGAAAGGTCCTCCTTATAGCCCATTGGATGTCAGTATTTTCCCTCAGTCAGAATCCAGAATGAAGAATTCCCGATCGGGGGTTGACTCTGGGATTGGAGAAAGTGTACTTGTCTCCAGCGGAACTCGCACAGTAAATAGTGAAAGACTGCAAACACCATCAAAAACTTTCTCCCCTGCCTTCCTTAGCTTGGTTCAGCTCTGTCTCCAACAAGATCCCGAGAAAAGGTACTATGGTACACTTCTGAAAAGCGTAAAACACATGCGTTTATATTGTATAGATGCTTTGTGAGCGTCCCTTCCCACTGAATTCAAATCTTTTATCAGTTTTTTGATCAAAAAACTATCGTCTACTCCAGATAACATCAATGCTAAAAACAAGCAGAGGCGACAAGCAGATGGGAAGAACACTAGATTCAAGGCCAGAAGACTTGGGCTCCAGTGTTAGCTTTATCATTTCCTGACCAAGGCACTTTGTAAAAATCGGTTATTCTGTATGGGCCTTATGTTAAGACACTTAGAAACTTCCAAGCAGTACAAAATGTTAGTGGCTGCTATTAAAATAATATAAATTATTATAATATATATTAGCATTAGTATTTTGGAAATAAGGTATGTCTTATCTTTTTTAGCCCCTTAATGCCTTGCACAAGCTTATAATTAGTGCTCAATAAATGTTGAGTTATGGACTAAATGAAAGATATCTCTAGAATTAATTCTTCCCATTAGTCAAGGATATAGCTGAGAACTGGGCCTCCTGACATGCATTATTTTTCCTTTTAATTTTTAGTATGGGGTTTTATAGCTTGAAACCTAATTTCAAATATAGTTTTATACCCAAAAATCTACATCCCAATATGAGCCCCCCCCCTTTTTTTTATATAACTTAAAAAATTTTTTTTCAGGCCATCAGCAAGCAGTTTATTGTCCCATGTTTTCTTCAAACAGGTAAGCTGATCTATCAACTTTTTGATAGTTTTTAAATGCTTTTAAATACTTTAGAAAAGTCACTTCATTTTGTTCGCTTAATGGGATAGTTTGGTGGCCAAGGTTCTTAATAATAACTTTGTTGCGAAAGAAAGTTAAAAACAAAACTTTTTTGGTAATTCAGTTATAGACATTCTAATAATACATGTCCATTCGGCAAAACAGAATGAGTAAAAAACAATGGAATATCATCATGTGTTGTCATATCCTCAGTTTATATTTTAATTTAGAGACATTTTATCTTTCTGTATTGGCTAGAAATGATTTAAGGGCAAAATAATTCTGATAAAAATCAGTTTGGGCTGGCACTTCTTCCTGTTTTCAGATGACCAGAATCAAAGGCATTTTCAGTGAAAATACCTAAAAACAATTTTAAACACTTTTAATATTGCTTCTTTAAAAGTTATTTATTGCCAACAAAATTAATGTATTGAATTTATGTGCCAACAGCCTTATTTTGAGTTTCTTTAACAGATGAAAGAAAAAAGCCAGGACTCAATACTTTCACTGTTGCCTCCTGCTTATCACACGCCATCAATAGCACTGCCTCCAGCGTCTCCTTGGACTGAGTCAGAGTGTGATTTTCCTGATGAAAAAGACTCAAACTGGGAATTCTAGGGCTGCCAGATCCTTTTATGTCCTATGTATTTGACACTTTCTCCCTGCTGCTTTTTCTTCTGTATACAAACACTAGAATTATACTTGAAGATACAGTTGCACTGGAGAATCTATCATTTAAAGCCACTCTGTTCAAAGCATGAGTTTATAGCCCCTTTGGTTAGTTCAGAGTGCTGTTACGACTCCAGGGAATTTAGAATTATTACTCTAGCCACATTTAGGGTCATCTATTCTCAGTTTTTTTCCCCAAAGCTGTGACTAATATCTCTTCTTGATCTCTAAATATAATTTTTGAGCCAGTTCATTTTTTCAGCATTTCGTTGCCCTCAGGGGAATGAGCCCTCAAACGACAGTGCTTCCAAGTAGATTTTTTACTTCCAGATTCTCTAGCCTTTTTGATCAGCTTTTGTTAGACCAACAGGCTAGTTTATCCTGGCCTCAAACCTTTTTTTGGTAGCAGGGAAAATGTTTATAGTTTCCCATTTCCTTATGTTAATACTTAGGGTAATATCAAACTGAGCCTCACATTAAATGATTCACTTGAAATATGTATAGAAGTTGTGATTTGCTTTTTTTTTTAAAGGGCTAGTTAAAGTACCACTTTTCTACTTATGCAAATTATAGCTCCTAAATTCATGCACCCTGTGGGAGCTCAATAAAGATTTACTGAATTGAGTTTATGCGTTTATTTATTTTATTTGTGTGGTTTGACAGATTCTAATTTGTTTTGCCAGTGAATATTGTTTTTCAAAAAAGTAAATTTATTTATTTACATAACCTAGTGAATTGGGGGCATCCTGGTATTTGATTCAATGGAAGCAGATGTTCTGGCCTTTTATATGATTATTCTTGTTCCTGTAGGTGATACAACATATAAGGACATAGAGATCTTATTTCATGGTATTACCTTATTAGCAAAAGAGGGGTGCTGTGTCTCAAAGAGGATGTAGTTTGAACTGTGATAAATTGGGACCTTATTTAACATTACATTAAAAATTGTTTTCAACGATTGTCTGAAGCTTAAAAATTTAAAACCAGTGAGACAATATACAAATTAATAGACAATTTGAAACAAACCTTTTTATGTTTATTGGCCAGCACCCCTCAAGGATGTTTAGGTTACTCCATCAAGTAAGCCACAAAGACCTGCCAAGGTGGAGGAAGGAGAGGAGATGAGTATCAGTTGAGGCCCTGAGATCACCTGTGGTGGTGAGGGCTGTATATTCCACTAACCTCCTTCTTCTAAATTTTCCTTCAGCAACAGAGGCTCACAGGAACCATAGAGGAGGTTCTCCTGAGTTTGTGTGGAGCATTGGTACATTGATATGTGTAGTGCCCAAGATGAACTGTGGAGACCATGAAACAGTGCCTCTCAGATCTCCTGTGAGTATATTATGGTTCTCCAGAGAAACAGAACCAAAAGGAGATTTATTATAAGGAATTGGCTCACAGAATTAGGGAGGCTGACAAGTCGCAATCTGCAAGGTGAGTGGGCAAGCTGGAGACACAGGAGAACCAATGGTGTTGTTCCAGTTTATAGGGTGGCAGTCTCAGGACCCAGGAAGAGCTGATATTTCAGTTTGAGTCCAAAGGCAGAGAAAAGCTGATGTCCCAGGCTGAAGGCAGTCAAGCCTTTTCAGGCCTTGAACTGGTGAGGCCCACCCACATCAAGGAGGGCAATCTGCTTTATTCAGTCTACAGAGTTAGATGTTAATTTCCTCCAGAATAATGTTTGACCAAATATCTGGGCACACTGTAGCCCAGTCAAATTGACATACTGCCATTAGATACTGTACTCGACTGTTAGCCTCACCCTGAGAGTGTCTTAAATTTTGCACCAGTAGGCTCCTTGCTTGCTGTATTAGTTTTCTATCACTGTCGTAACACATTGCCACAAACTTAGTGGCTTAAAATAACACAATTTTATTTTACGGTTCTGGAGTTCAGAAGTTTCAAATGGGTTGGCAGGGCTGTGTTCCTTCTGGAGGCTCTGGGGTAGAATCTGCTGCCTTTTCCAGTTTCTGGAGGCTGCCTGCCTCCCTTTGCTTCATGGGCCAGCATTACTCCAATTTCTGTTTATTTCAGTGATCACATGTCTTTCTCAAATTTACCCTTCTGCCTTCTCTTATAAGGGCTCTTACAATTACATTGAGCCCAGGATGCGCTCCCCAACTCAAGATCCTTAATCACAGTTGCAAAGTCCCTTTTGCCACATAAGATAACATATTCACAGGTTCCTGGGATTAGGATGTGGATTTGTTTGGAGGATCATTATTCTGCCAACCACACATCTAATCATCTTGGTGTCTGCTTTCTGAAGGACCCAGAAGCAGAGTCACGTTAGCTAAAATACCCTCCTATGAACTTTCATAGTACTTTACCCGAACAGCTCTTACACGGCCCTAGTATAATCACTCCTGTGTTTATGTCCCAATAGACTGGACTCCTTTAGAATATTGTTGTATTCACCAGTGTTTAGCAGTGTTTGGCATATTATGGACATTTAATAAATTTAAGGAATTCAACCTTGAATAAAGGTTATGAGAATTCTTAAAATTAAAAACAAAAAACAAAAAACACGACAATTTGAGAGATTTCCATGATAGGAAGTTTTTAACTCTTTGTCGTAGTATTGCCATTAAAAGTTTAATGAAGCAAAGGGATCTGAGATTTCTTACTAGTAAATATTTCCTCCTTCACTGCAAGCCATATCAGTGGTTTTCTTTGTACAAACTGCCGGTCAATTGTCGGTCAGCTCTTAAATCCATTTCTCCACCCATCCCCCACATACTTTCACTCTGGTTTCCAGGGAGGCGATCATGGAAAATCAGAGTTCAGGAGGGGAGAGAAGAAACGTGGTATTTCTCGCCTTTGCCCCACTCTCGTTTCCTGTGGTGGCCCTGGCAGTGCCTGTATCTTCTTTGTCTTCTGGCTTTAGGACTCTGGTAACACCACTTGCCTCTGCTGTCTCTTCTATCTTACGGGTGGTCGCATCTCCTGTTCTTGCTAATCTCTAGACTCCCTCACCATCCCTTTTGGTTTCTTAACCTTAGTTCCATCACCCACGAAGCCAGTTCCCTGTGTTTCTTCTTGAAAGACCCAGTTATTTGTGTCTTCCCAGTTACACTGACTGATACAAGTACTGACAACTTTGAGGATTACTAGAAATTCTTGGTCTCCAAAAAAAAATTACTACCTCGATCATACCAGTAATCGAATGATCAGGAATTATGTTTTCCATTAGCCAATCTATTTAAACCCCACAGTCTATGATTTATGGGATAAAATTGAAACTAACAATAATTCTGAAAATTTTTGCTACTCGAAAGTGTACCAAAGTTCAACAAGATGCAAGTACTGTGCTTGATAGGAATGGAACCAACTCTCAGAAGTTTCTGATTTAAATCCTAGGTTGATTTAGCTAGGTAAATTTTATGCAGTTTCTACAATTTTATGCAGCTGAGTTTCATGTTGTTAAAGAGGCCCTTTCATAGTTTTTCAAGTAAGTTAGAAAGTCACTCCAGTGTAGGTGGTGACTCAGGAACTCGTATTAAATCTCTTATTATCTTTATAGTGTAAAAAGTTGTAATATCCAGTGATACTAAAATTAACAGAAGTTTTTTAGACCCAGAGAATTGCATTCCGTTGAATCTAGAAATATAATAAAGCTGAAGAGTAAATGTATATTCATAACAAAATAGAAACACCGACAAATAGAGAACTTGAAACTGGACAGACAGGGATAATTTAGAGCATGACATGACTTGGGAAACCAGAGGACTATGAATTGGAATGATATTGTTACATAGTGAAAAAAAGGAAAAGCTGGGAATAAAACTTTACTAATGAATATGAACTGAATGTGTATTTCTGGGTTTGTTCCCTGTGGTTCATAAAAAAAACACTTTTACATCAAAAGCTGTTTCTTTTCATTTTAATTAAAACAAAATGGTTCTAACAAGATGAAATTTGGCTGCTGACTTCCATCATACAAAAGGACACATCACCAAACCATTTTGTTAATTGGAGAAATGTTCCGACTGTTGGCCTCGCATATCATTCTGAACTGTTTAACAATTGGATAGCACAAATGAGTGAACATTTTCAACATTTTAATTTTGGAGGGGGCCGCATTTTTTGGATTTCATAATCTGGAACTGTTACGTTTAAATGAACTAAACCTGCTGAAACCATCCGAGGATTTGTACGTTTTCCAGAGTAGCTTTCTCGTCGTTTGCTAACCTCTGGAGCAGTGTATGGTCTTGCAGTGTGTTTTAACCGATAATGGTTGTCATCTGAGCTCTTTCCTGAAAGCCTTGCTCTTGATTTTGCTTTTTCAAGATGCTGAAACGAGGTCCCACGTAAATCCTCAGATTTATCCAAACAATCCTAAATAATAAAATAAAAAATCAGGTTGGTGAGTTAGGTTTCTTAAAAGTATATTTTAAATTTATAAGGACTAAAGTTTATAATATCAACAGTTAAAGAATGAGAGCATCAGATGTTTTATAGGCAGTCCCCAAATTCAGACCCTACACCCAATGCCTCTCATTAGAAACTGCTATAGAAACAATGCTTAACAACAACAAAAGAAACCTTATTGTTTGCAAGATCTGTTATTTCAAAAGGGGTGGAAGATATAAAGCTGGAAACCATAAAAATTTAGGGGAGCTGTCCTCCCGGGTCAGACTCCCAGGCAAAGCCAGCTAGCCTATTCTATAATTATTCTCCAAAATACATCGTCCTTAACCCCAAGGGCAAATTATGAACTCTCATATTTTACTTTTTATATTATCCAAACTTTCATTCCTTAGAAGTTAATAAACATCTTTAGAGAGTGCCCGGCATCTAAGGATATGGTTATGATGTTTCTATTGAAATAGTTAAATTTGTGTACATTCTGAGAGTAAGTAAAACATTCAGAAAAATAACTGGAAGGCTATATACCAAAATAATTTTTAAAACATGATGGGCATATTAGGGTGGTGGGATTATAGGCTTTGTTTTCCTTTTTGTCTTTTTTCATTTAAATAATATGGCTATGTTTTATAATAAAAATATAATAATCTACAAGTGCCCCTAAGAGGGCGTGGAGCTAGTAGTCATTCTCAAATTAGTGTAAACTAGTTTCCTTGCAGTTTGAGCAGCTCGTTCCTTAACATTTCATAGAGATGCCACACCAAAGGAATGGGTTGCTTTCTTTTGGAGAGAAAGTGGGACTGGATTATTAGAATTAGAAGGCTGCAGGAGGTTAAGCAGGACTGAGAAGAATTAGATGGCAATAAAGAGAAGATTTACATAAAAGGAGGTAAGAAGAGTCAAAAAGCAAATTCGACCTACTTTACATTTTTGCCTGGGTTTGCAGAGGGCAAGGAAACATTCTTTTTCGTCCCTCACAGAGATGAAGCAATTAGGTAAGCCACATCATTAGGGGAATTTCTACTACACTTGTAATATATATTTTGCTTCGCAGTTGATATAACTGATTGCTAGAGTGCCAGTGCGAGTACATGGAGACTCCCACTACTAGTTATGTTTCTGGATGCTCCTACAACTCAGTTTCTTCTGTTTTGGTTCCTTTGGGAGATTCCTGGAGAATCAGATGAGCAAGTCTACCTGATAATCTGAAAAAGTCCCTCTAACCCTGCAATTTTCTGTTGTCAGTGTCAGTGGAGAGAAAAGTTTAGGTACCACTGGTTTAACAGAGGGAAATAAAGATGACTCTCTCTCCATTGCCCATTCTCAGGATAAGGGTTCTAAGACCCTATATGATCTCATACAACATAAACACTGTTTCTCATTTTGTTTGAAAAAGTGATATGAAAGAACTTCAGAAAGTCCTTCCTTCCCCCAAAACTATGAACCCATCTTCTACTTCCTATTCATTGTGCGCACATTCACTCACTCAATACGAAATTACTGAATTTAGATCCAAAGTTGAGAGTATAAGCTATGTTAATATTTACCCAGCTACTAATTTGCTTTACTATTTGCTAAAGCTAAATATTTGCTTTATTGTGGAAAAACAATTCAAAGCAACTATTCTGAAATTAGATCTATTTTATCATTCAAAGGTGGAATTACGCACATCAAATTATCAATACATCATTTTAGAATATGAGTTTTCCCAATTGTAGGTCATGCCTATTTATATATACTAACAAATAAAAGCAATGGTCCAGAAAATTAAGTCTCTTCCATTCCTAGATTCTAACTTTCTTTAGAATGGTTTGTATAAAGTCTAGCAGCAGATTTACCTTCTTGTTTCATGTCATTAAAAATAGATTTGAATTCCCAAATTTGTCAGCACATGATATAGCAGTGGAGTGGTGGTAAAAGAAGAACAGAAGTTAAATTAAAATTTTACAATTGAACCCCTATGTTCCCTGCAGCACTATTTACAATAGTCAAGATATGGCAACCTAAGTGCCTATCAATAGACAACTGAATAAAGAAATCGTGGTACATATATATGCAATGAACTATTATTACTCAGCCATAAAAAAAAAAAAATGAAATCTTACCATTTGCAATGACATGGATGGACCTAGAGGGTATTATGCTAAGTGAAATAAGTCAGAGAAAGCCAAATACCATATGATTTCACTTATATGTGGAATCCAAACAAAATAAACAAAATGAAAACGCATTTACAGACAGAGAACAAAATGGGGATTGCTAGGTGGAAGGAGGATTGGGTGAAAATGGTGAAGGGATTAAGAAGTACAAATTCGTAGTTAAAAAATAGTCATAGGGATGTGAAGTACAGCATAGGGAATACGGTCAATGATATTGTAATAATTATGTATGGTACCAGGTTGGTACTAGACTTATCAGGGGGTATCACTTTGTAAATTACATAAATGTCTAAACACTATGCTGTACACCTGAAACTAATATAAATATTGAATGTCAACTCTAATTGAAAAATAAAAATTAAAAAATGTAAAAAAAATAAAATTTTGCAATTCATAATCCAATAGATTGTACATTTTGCATACCCTCATGCTTAGCAGAATAACTGGCATATAATATCTTTTTTTACTGAAACAAAGATAATTGAGTGACCTGAAGAGAAACTACATATTTATACTTAAATCTGCATGAAAAGAAAAATCCCAGCTATGTTTCCATAGTATACAGCCACTGCCAATGGTTGGTTGTACAGGTTGTGTTTGTACAACAGCCCCTGACTGAGGGGTGAGTAGGGGCTAAAATCCTACCAGCTTTTGAGACAAGGCTGTGTGCCCTGACTCCCGACTGGGTCAGCCTGCAAAATCTTCCCAGAGAAAAGGATGCCTTTTTCTAATTTAAACTCCAGAGGGGGTGCCCTTTACCTATTTTAAACAAAGGTACTAAGTGTGTTAACAGCCCCCTGATTTTGTGATTTTGTGATTGCATTTTGAATCAGGTAAAGTGATATCTGAATGTCAGAAGAATTTTTTAAATTTGGAGGCCTGTACATCTTGGAGCAATGAAGGTTACACACACACTTGCATGCAGACATATATACTCTAAAGTAGATTATTTACAGAACTTTGCAAAATACAGAGGTAGAAGACTTAGAAAAACATTATTACATGTACAGTTCTTCTTGCAGTCCAATGAAGCAATGTCCTTGGAACAGATTTCTTTAGAATCCTTGTGGTGGGTGGTGCAGTTGGTAGTATCTTAACTATCTTGTTAAATGACTTTTTTTGTTTGCTGACATGGTTTCTTTCTTTTTGGACCTTGGGCTTTAGATATTCTTTCTTTAATACTTCTGGGAAGAGGAATGGTTTTGATTTTTTCTGAGCTTCCACAACTTTAAACAATTGTGATGCAAGGACCGTGGCACATTTTTCATTGTAAATTTCACTTGGTTTTATATAAAGAGCTTGTATTTCTTTTTCATAATGCGAAAATGTTATTAAATGTTTTTTATTGTTATTATTATATCCTTTCAATCTCTGACAATACTGGTCTAATTTTGAGTTTTCACCAGCCTCTGAATTGAAATGAGTTAAACTATTATTCTGCCTGGAAGAAAAAGTGAATTTATTTACGTATTCTTCATCTTCATTTGGCATTTTGCAAAAAGGAATTCTTGGATGTGGTGAAAGCACTTCAGGTTTTTCCTGTACCATCAATTTATAGATGTTATGCTTTTTTTCAAGGGGCATCATTTTTAGTGTCCTTTCAAAGCAGACATTTGATTGAGTTATTTTTGATTTACCACTTAAATTATGTGGGTCCTGAATCTCTGTTTTAAAATCAAAATTTTCCACTTGAGGAAGCTGCATGAAACCATGTTCTTTCTTTACTTTCTGAAACACTATATCCGTAAGTCTTTCTGATGACTTCTTTAATGGAATTGCCTGGGTATTTTTGTTGGAAGAAGTTTGTACTTTAATTAAAGTCAGAGTTTTAGCTCCTTCTTTAAGATGATATTTTTTCTGTTCTCTAATTATTGATGGATTTTCTTGAATATTTTGTAAGAAAAAATATTCCTTTTCTTCCTTTCTGGTCAGTTCTGTTTCTACAAGGCTTTTCTCAGGAACTTTTGGTAAAGTGGTTTTATGAACAATTTTTGAATATTTATTTTGCTTTTCTGAATGCTCATCCATAAATGGATTTTCATCTCTAAAAGATAAATCTGGCTTTATATATTTTAATGGTGTGGAACTAGAAATATTCAAATTTATATGGTGGCTGATTCCCTCTAATTGCTTTTCAGTGATTAGTCCTGATTGTGAAAGTTTTTCTGTAAAAAGTCTCTGAAGGTATTTGCTTAAATCACCTTTTAGATTTAATAGTTCATTTTCTGATAAAGCTGTGAGATAGCTTTGCAGAAATTTATTTAAAGGGTACTTCATGTTTACTTCAAGCCTTCTACCAAAACTCCCCCTTGAAATACTTTGTCCTAACTCTTGAAAAGATACTGAAGCACTTTCAGTTCTTAGAGAAGATATGTTTGAGTGTATAGGTTCAGATTCTGTCTCTTTAGAAAAACTGCTTTCTGAAAGGTTTTTTAGGAAATAGTTTTGGAGAATTTCATTTAAAAAAGATCTTAGCTTTATTTCCAAATGTTTATCTATGAAATGATGATTAAAGTTATTTACACAAGACATGGTTTCTTTTACAGTTTCTGAATATTTCTCCAGAAAAACATTTTGCCCTTTTGGTTCTGCTTCCTCATTCATCAAATACAGATTTTGACAGATTTTTGTTAGGTCCTCTCTGGTGACAAGTCCTGATTCTGAAAGTCTTTCTACAAGGTAATGCTGGATGTGTTTACTTAATTCAGATTTAAAATTTTCTATTTCTGACTCTGAGAGTTCTTCTAGAAATATACGTAGCTTTGGACTCAAACTAGGTTTTCCCCCTAATTTATCCGCTTTATCAAAATTCTCTTTGGTTTCTTCAGGGTCTTTTGTATTATTTGGAAAAGGATGTTGAATCAGTCTTTCTAATTCTTTTTCTGGTTGTCCCCTTTCAGCCTGATTATATTTTAAAAAAACATTAAATATGTTTTTCAAAAAAGATTTTAACATTATTACATCTGACTCATTATATTTATCCATTAATAAGTTACTTAAATTTTCTAAGGTAGGACTTATATCATTTTCTTCTCTATCCAGCCTCTGACCATTACTTGGCAAATCTGTGTTTTTATCTGGTGTTGACTGAGACTTTGAATTTTCTGGGGATATATTTTGGCCATTGTCTATAAATTCAACTCTGTTAAAAAAAGAAGTGGTTTCTTTGGGAATGGTGGGTATAATCTGCTTTGAAAGAGGATCTGTTTTGCTTTTGATTTCTAAATAATCCTCTGTGGAGTCCTTTGGCTTTTCTTCAGCAAAGGCTGTCTCTGTATGCAGCAAAGAACTCTTCTGGTGTTCTTTATTTAATTCTATCACTTTGATTATCCCAGATTCTAAAAGAGTATCTACAGGAAATGCTTCTATTATTTGGCTTATAACAGATTTGTTCTCTGGTGATTCTATTTCACCATCGTTTTCTCCACTGTGAACTAGAATATCTGAAGATAAACTCTCCCAAGCTGCGGGGAATTGATCCTGCGAGTTCATCTGTGTCTCCCTCGATTCTTCCACTCCTATCTTCAGCTTGGAGAACGCTGGCACAGTGAATATTTGTTTTATAACAAAATCACGTAATTTGGAGCTAGAAACTTCACTTTCTAAATGTTTCTTTTTGAAACTACTTTTTTTTTTAATTGAAAAAGCTATCTCACTAGCCTCTAAGTATTTTTTGGAGACAAGTTCCCTTTCTACTTCTGGAGAATTTCCTGATCCACTTTCTGAAAGTGAATCTATAGAAATATCTTTGATTACTGGACTTATAAAAGACTCTGAATTTAAAATGTCTCCTTTTGTAAACCAGTTACTTAAACCTTGGACTTTGTCAGACATGTCGTCTTCCAAATTACTTAATGGGTTATCACGAACACTTAGAAGCGGAGAACTATGACTTTTCTTTCTTGCTTCAGTGTCCACAGAAACTTCTGTTTGAGAAAATAATTTATCTGAAAGGTCTTGCAGATTTTTACTTAAAATTGACTTGAGTACCATTGATTGTTTTAAGTTTTCTATGTGGGAAGTAAAACTTAATGATTTTGAGAGGCGACATGCATGTACATTTACATTTTCAGTCAGTGATGATACTCCTTCAAAGTTTGGCAAAGATACATTTGGTAGTCTTTCCTTTAACTTATCCTTAGTACTTAAAGTCTTTATTGTGATGATAGCAGGATCATGGATTAACTTTTTCTTAGTGTCTACAGTCTTCATTGTGGCACTATCAAAACCATGCGGCCAGATTTCCTTAATAGGGCCTGTGCTTTTTGAATGTGTTGGGTGAGGAGGGTCTTGGTCTTCAAGCTCTACAATGTCTGCACTTAAAATGTCTCTACATTTGCACATATCTTGGTCCTTCCTTTTTCCGACTGACATTTTGTTGTTTAAATTCCTTAGAAAAGGATCAAAACCATCCTTGATGTTGGAGTTCAAGAACTGTAATATTAAAAAAAAAAAAGATAAGAAATTTTGTAACATTTATCTTGCATTTATAGTAAATTTTCTAGCTAATTTTCTTTGAGCAATCTATGAATTTATCTATTCATCCTCCTAACTTCTACAAAGAAAACTAACTTTAATTATTTTTAAAATATTTGAAATTGGAATATTAATAAGAATTTTAGTGCAAAATTTTCAAATTCCTAACTCTGGTACTATTTTGTGTCCAAAAGCTTTTTGTTACCTAGAATACTTACAAATACTTAAAAAGCACTCATTAACAGTTTTCAAAGAATTCAATTTCCAGTGTTAGCTACATTTGCTTAGACAATAGCTAACATCAAGATCTAAGTCCTATCCATATAAATATTTACCATTTTAGTATCAATGCAGGACATTTTTTTAAAATGTCAAGCAAGTAGCAGATATCCCATAAAAACTATCATAAGTCTTCTTTAAAAGCTGACTTGGGGGCATATATTATCTGCATTTAAGTCTGAGAGTTTGAACAGTAATGATAGGCTCCACCCAGCCCTTAGCAGTAGAATCTTGCTTTTTGATGAATACTATATATGCCTCAGAAATGGTTCAGAGACAGTAGTACAAAATATTTTGGATCACAGTGAAATTTCAGTGTTACTATCCCTAGGCAGTTTTGTAGCTCTGAGATCAAGCTATTTTATCACTGAAATAGCCTTCCAAAATGAACCCTCTTATACAAACCCTTTGTCCATACAACTTCTACATTTCTCAGTTGAAAAAGCAAAATGTTAAATAATCAGCCTAGAATGTGTTTTAGTTACATCAACTTAGTGGTTCAAGCTTCATTTTAATGCATACAATTTATTATAACTGGTTTTCAAAAGATAGTTGATACTGAGGTGACAGTTTAAGAATCCTCTTGGGTTTTTGAGAAGTAAAGATTCCTAGGCTCTATTTCCAGATTGAGATTCATTAGGTCAGAGATGGGACCTAGGAATATGTATTTTTTTAAAAGATGGCCAGGTGTTTCTAATGAGTAATCATGTTTGGAACCACTGAATTACATAATATATTAGAGAAACCTAGTATTTAAGTATAATAGATACTGAGATAGGATAAATCAGGACTCACCTGATATTTTGGTTGGAAATCTATATATTCTGATCTTAAAGATGGTACGATGTGTTCTTTTTCTGAAAAAGCCACCTTATAAAAAGAGAAGTTTTAATTTTAGACTTCTTAGAATACAAGCATATCTCCCAAGATAACTTATTCCTTCAATAGTTATTAAAGATACAAAAAATTTTTAAACCTAAATAAGTATTTTTCTCTTAACTACTGTACTTTACTCTGCCAATTATCAAATAAATCTGTATACACACATATGTAATCTTAGCTTCCTTGATACTATAATATTCATTCTCTTGTATCTGTAAAATCATATAAGTACTGCACACTAACCGATTGCTCCACTGGAGCTCCGAATTTGTAAAATCAAAACAATGCACAGCAACTTCAAGCAGAAACAAAAGTAGAAAATAAAATTGTCAGAACATAATCTAATTTTAAAAGGTTGTGAAATGCTTTAGATAATAATTGGCATTTGATATTACACTGAAACAGCAGTTTCAATGATTCTCGGACTATAATTGTTAAATGAGTACTTAACACTGTAGCCTAAAAGAAGCACTTGGTGCTAAGTCAAGGTGTATAGGAACAATTATAGAATCACAGAACCATCAAATTTTTAGAGATGGAGAGTACTTTAGAGATAATCCAGTCCTACTCCTTGTTTTACACAAGAATCTGAAGTTGAAGTCAATTACCCCAAATTACACAGATGATTAAATGTAGCCTAAATCCTAGGTGTCCTGAATTTTCATTTGATGCTCCTCACACCACACAATGAAGACTGCAGTGAGGAAGACTGGACCTTTGGAAGCATCATAATGTGCATCCACACTGCCAGCTCATCTGGAGAGAACTTGACACCATCTCTTTGTAGAACACTTTGTAGCTGGATCCCGTGGGTCCTTCTTCATCACTGTTCTCCGTGCACACAGAGAATACATACACTGCTGGCACAAACCACTTTCCTATGCATCATCTCCTTTAGTTCCTAGAGGGTTCCTTATATATCAAGCTAGTTGAAATAAAAGTTCAATGAATGATGTTTTCATAAGAAATACTTTTTTAAAAATTGTCTTTTTTTATTGAGGTAACATTGGTTTATAACATTATAAGTTTTAGGTGTACATTATAATTTAACATCTGTATATACTTATTGTGTGCTCACCCCCAAAAGTCTAGTTTCCACCTATCAGTAATATTAAGTAGTTAATACTGTTTAATATTAATAAACACTTAAAATAACTTTATAGGTCATGTTATTAACTGCTTAGTATTAATGAACACTTAAAGTTATAAAGTTATTTTAAGTGTTTATTAATATTAAGTGGTTAACGACATGATTTTATTCTTTTTTTAATTTTTTAATTTTTAATTACGTTTATTGGGGTAACATTGGTTAATACAATTATATAATTATACAATTATATAATTTTCAGGTGTACAATTATATAATTTTCAGGTGTACAAACCTGAAGGTTAAACAAACCAATACAGGAGCTTCAAAATGGTAAACTGAGCATGTGGATTTAGGTTCAAGGTTCTGGTAAATGAACATAAAATAATATCTTTTTAAAAATCCCATGGCAACACTGGAAATCAATAAGGGGAGACACCAGGATCCAGAAAGTTGAGAAATTCAGAAAATATGAAAGCAGGTAAGACTGACTTAATGGAATGCCCATCAAGAAAATCAGAGCCTTAAACAACAGAAATCAGGTGGACCTGAGAAGCAATAAATTTAAGGCCAGCATATACAAAGACAATCAGATGACACTTTGTAGCTGCATCACTTGGGCCCTTCTGCATCTATTCTCTTTCTCAGTACACATAGAGCATACACTGCTGGCAGCATTGTCCTTCCCCAATCACCCACCCAACATTAAAAAACAAACAAACAAACAAAAACCCTGCTCCCTAAAAAAGATACGCCATTTGTCTAGGTAGATATCCTATATGAGTTCTGAGTCTTGACAGAGAAGCAGAGTAGAACTTTCTGTCACTCACATTTCTACAGCAGAGGGATAAAAAGAAAGGAAAGGAAGTTCCATTTAGGAGAGAAACACGTTGGTTCCTAGGAAATGCTGGAGGATGCCCAGCCATTCTGCTTGCCTGCTTCCATCTCCACACACCTCTCAGGGAAGCCTGCTTGTCACACAGAGCATACCCATACAACCAACATATTCATTCCTTCATTCACAAAGATAAAATGAGCCGACGAAGTTTGCCAGATATGTGAGGAAAATTAATACATGTAAGTGAAGAATCAATAAGATCAGACAGAACTAACTCCAGTACACAGAGATATTTCTGAGGACTGTGGGTGGGAGGAGGGTGACCCTTGGAAAAGACCCTCAGAGACACTCAAAAGGGGATTACCTCCACTTGGCTGTATAATAGGCATCTTGAATTTAATGTATACAAAATAGAATTATAGATTACCACTTTGCACCCCTCCCCCCATAAAAACCCACAAATATTGGCCTTTCTCTATTTTTCCTCATTTCAGTTAATGATGCTATTAAATACTGAATTGTTAGGCCCGAAACCTGAGTGTCACCCTTTATTTCTCTCTTCCTTCTGCTTTTTTATATCAAATCTAGCATTATGTCCTATGGCTGCTGCCTTCAAAATATCTCAAGTATCCAATCACATATCACCATCAACTCCACTACCAACATAGTACAAGCCACCATCATCTCTCCCCAAATAGTCTCCTAACTAGTTTCTTATGCTCTGTGACAGAGACTGATAGTTGCCTTCCTAAAATACCTATTATGTCAAAAATCTCAAATTTTTAGAGGACAAAAAAGTCCCCTATTTAAAAAGCTACATGTTCCAGCCTCCTTTGAAGACAGCAGTGGCCATGTGAAAGGTTCTGGCCAACTACATTACATATAATTGCAAATTGTTAGGAAAGTTTCTGAGAGTGTATCTTATAATAGAGGCAGACTCAGCTGACAGGTCGCTGACTGATCCTTGTCTGTTTCCTTCTTCCTACCTGAAATAGACTGTGATGCCTGGAAATAGAGTCCATTTTACGTTACCCTACAGTAACATGCACATGATGAGGACAGCTGTCCGAAAAGAAAGGGAAACTAGGTTCCTGATGACATCAGGAAACCACTGTACCATTATTTAAGGAACTAAGTTTTTAGTTACTCATAACTAAACATACTTCTAAACTGATCCAACAACTTCACATACACCGAGTCTATTCTTCCATAATAGAATGAAGCTAGAAATCGATAATAGAAAAAAAAAAACTAGAAATCACAAATATGTAGAAATTTAAACATCCCGAACCAATGGATCAAAGACTAACAAGGGAAATTAGAAAATACCTTGAGATAAATGAAAGTGAAAGCACAATATGCCAAAACTTATGGGATACAGTAAGATCAGTGCCAAGAGAAAAATTTATAGCTATAAACATTTACATTAAAATAAGAGAAAGATCTCAAATCAACAACCTAACTTTACACCTTACAGAACTAGAATAAGAAAAGCAAACTAAACAAAGCTAGAAGGAAGGAAATAGTAAAGACTAGAGTGGAGATAAGTAAAATGGAAATTGAAAGGCAATAGAGAAAATCAATGAAACCAAAAAAGTTGATTCTTCAAAAAGATCAACAAAACTAACAAATAAAAAAAGACTCACTCTTACTAAAATCAGAAATGAAAATGGGATAGTATGATCAATTTTACAGAAATATAAAGGATTATGAGAGTACTATGAGCATTTGTAGCCAATAAATTGGAAAACTTAGATAAAATGGACACATCCCTTAAAAGAGCCAAACTGCTAGAACTGACTCAAGAAGAAACAATCTGAATAGTTGAATAACTGAAAAGTTGAATCTATTTACAAAAAAACTAACCTCTCTGGACATTAATATAGTCTATCATATATCTCTTCCCAGAATCTCTTAACCCAAGTATCTGTGGTTTTATAGTATCCTTGTAGTGTTTATGACCAGTGCCCACTGCTTTTCCCACCTGTATTCCAAGTTACATGAGACAGAGATGAACCAGTCAGTCCTTCAAGTATCCACAAGCCAGGTTCAAACACACACAGTAAGTAAGGTCTGCTGTGTTCTCTCAACTTCAGTGAAGAAAGAGAACTGGGAACTGAGCTGTGACTGCTCAAGACTAAGTGATGCCATCTGGGGAGGGGACAGAGCAAGAGTAGATAAAAATGCCACAAATTCCTACCATTCTGAAGATGGCTTTTTCTTGATTGGATATTTTCCTGGTTGCCGTAGACCTTTGTTTCCCAAGCTCCTATGAAGTTGGTTCTGACAGCTTCTGGTTGTTTTTTCAGCATTTTTCAGGGGAACAAGAACTTGGAGCTTCTTACTTAGTTGACCATTGTGTGGATATCACTCCCCTTTAACATTTCTTGAGCTGAATTCTCTTGGTTTTTGTTGAAAAAATATTATTTTACCTTCTATTTTGAAAGATGTCATCACTGGTTAAAGAATTCTAGGTTGATTTTTTTTTTCCTTTCATTACTTTAAAGATGTTCCATAGTAATCTGCCTTGTGTGATCTCTAACAAGAAGTCTTCTGTTATATTTGTTTCTCTAATAAATGTGGCTCACCCTCCCTATTTCCTCACAAGTGTCTTAAGGTTTTCTCTTTATTATTGGTTCTCAGCAATGTGATTATGATGTCTTAGCATGGTTTTCTAAAGTTTTATTCTCCTTGGGATTCATTGAGCTTCTTGAATCTATGGGTTTATAGTTTTTATCAAAATGAAAAAATTTTGGCCATTATTTCTTCAGATACATTTTTCAGTTTTCCCTCCCTATGAGTCTCCAATTACATACATGTTATCCCACTTGGTATTTTCACACATGTTATAAATACTCTATTTATTTTTTAATCTTTTCTCTCCATGTGCTTTATTTTGTATAGTTTCTAATCCTGTCTTCTGGTTCATTGATCATTTATTCTGCAGCATCTAATATTCTGTTAATCCCATAAAGGTCATGATCCTTTTTAGATGTTTCATTTTTCATCTCTAAAAACTCCATTCGATCTATTTTTACCATTCATTTCTCTAATTATGCTTAT